TGACAGAAAGTTTAATACAAAGAATTTTCTAAAAATGTTTTCTAAAAGTCCTAATTTTATGAGAAACATGCAAGTAAAGATAACATTTTGAAAAATAATTTTACAAACATTTTCCATCAAAATTGTTTAGTTTCTGACTGAAAGTGACAAGAAAAATTCACATTTTGACAGAAAACATTATAGAAAAATATTTTTAAAAATTTTCTCTAAAAGCCCTTATTTTATGAGAAACATGCAAGTAAAGATAACATTTTTAAAAATTATTTTTCAAACATTTTTCATCAAAATTGTTTCGTTTTTGACTAAAAATGACGAGAAAAATTCACATTTTGACAGAAAACATTATAGAAAAATATTTTTAAAAATTTTCTCTAAAAGGAGGTCAGCTGTCCGCTCCTCCTCTTCCTCCTCTCGCCATCCCTCTGTCTGTCAAAAACGGAAAAGCCTGTTACTTCATAACGCTATGTTGCCAGAGTCCGACGGTGTCTGCGGAGCGACGCTCCTTCTCCCCTCTGTGTCTACATTCTTTAGGACAGCCGAGACGGTATTTTTTTTTCACACTTCTCTTAAATACGTTCACTGCTAAGTCTTGCCGGGTGGCAAAGCTGCTATGGGACAGCGATGGGAGAGAGAGAGAGAGAGAGAGGAAACATTGTGTACATTTAAACAGAAGAGCAGAGAACACAGCTGATGAATATTTCTAAAAATGTTCTCTAAATAGCCTAATTTTATGAGAAACATGCAAGTAAAGATAACATTTTGAAAAATATTTTTTCAAACATTTTTCATCAAAATTGTTTTGTTTTTGACTAACAATGACAAGAAAATATCACATTTTGACAGAAAAATTTATACAAAAATATTTCTAAAAATGTTCTCTAAAAGCCCTAATTTTATGAGAAACATGCAAGTAAAGATAACATCAAAGTTTCTTAGTTTTTGACCAAAAATGACATGAAAAACATACATGTTTACAAAAAGTTTTATTAAGAAAAATTTTGAAAAATGTTCTTTACGTACACTAATTTTATGAGAAAGGTGTAGGCAAAGATACAATTTTGAAAAATAATTTTACAAACTTTTTCATCAAAGTTTCTTAGTTTTTGACCAAAAATGACATGAAAAAACGGACATTTTGACAAAACATTTTAAACAGAAAAATTTCTAAAAATGTTTTCTACGTGCACTAATTTTAAGAGAAACGTGCAAACAAAGATATAATTTTGAAAAATAATTTTACAAACTTTTTCATCAAAATGTCTTAGTTTTTGACCAAAAATGACATGAAAAACTGACATTTTGACAGAAAACTTTATACAAAAAAATTCTAAAAATGTTCTCTAAAAGCCCTTATTTTATGAGACATAAACATGCAAGTATAGATACAATTTTTAAAACTAATCTTACAAAGATTTCCACCAAAGTTTTTAGTTTTTGACCAAAAATGAGACAAAAAAATTCACATTTTGACAGAAAACTTTATACAGAAATATTTCTAAAAATGTTCTCTGAATGCCCTAATTTTATGACAAACATGCAAGTAAAGATAACATTTTTAAAAATAATTTTACAATGTAAAGTCAACAGTATAACAAGTAGACAAATATAAAATAACATTGTATTTCTTACCGTCCTGTGTTTTTTTGCAGGTATAGCAGCACTGGATATTCTGATCAAATGCCTTTTACAAACAACAAACGACACTGCTAATGATCTTTATATTTACACCAGTAAAAACAATATATTAACATATAAATCAAAGAAAATAAGTTAAGTATAAATACAGAAACGTATTCTAAACAGAAGTTTGAAAATCAGTCTGCTGCTTCGGATTCGTCATATTGCTGTGGCTTTGGATTTTGGAGAAATATTTTCTGCCGTGGATTTCGTACTTCGGGTCCAGCACTTTGATTAAATCCTTGAATCAATCTTTCTCCACCTAAAAGATGACACGGTTGATGCTGCTTCGGGTGTGTTGCTACGCCGCTAGCAAAGACTAAGCTGCTAATGCTATACGTGCTTTGTACCAAATTGGTAGCACTCCGTCTGACTTCGCTCCACGTCCCTTTAGAGATACACAAACCCCCGCCACACAAACGACGTTGAGTAACTTTTCTTCTCAACAATAACCTCATTTATCGAGGATGACTCCTATTTCTGATATCAATATCGCTACCCCTAGCTCCATGTTCACTTATCCTCTTTGCCTGTTTGTTCAACTTCTCCAGCAACTTCCGGCAACGGAAGAGGAGCAGTAATAGGTCGACTCTGATTGGCTGTTTTCGCGCACATGACATACATGCGCGTGATGTTAACCAGTTTGCATTCGTTCATAAGACAGGGGAAGGATAAATACTTAACCAGGATAACTTAACCGTTTCTAAGACATTTGACCTTTTCTCTCTCTCTCATTTTCAGGTTTTCCAGGACACATAGGAACCCTGAATGTGTGCGTCTTTGTAGTTCGTCGGCTGTCGGTGATGACGTCACAAAATACATGTCGACTTGACTGTATTGTCAGATTAGTCTGTTAAAAGAATTAAAAAATATATATCAGAAGTCATCTATGCCCTAGTACATTATGTGGTCAAACCACTGGGCCGCAGCCTTATCCCTGCTTAACCCTTTACTTATTTCGGTCCCTTCGGTGACAGGTCAAAATAAAATTTGAATAGCTTGGATGATGGGCCCCCTTTACCAACTTTGCTTGTCAGTAAGTAAACTTACAGTAGGTCACATTTCGTAACTGCCGTTAACTACAGTTTTAAGTAAAGCTGTTATTTGACAGTGTGAAGAAACACCAGAGTTAGAATGTTGTCTGACTTTATGTAAATTGTACAGGAAGAGGATACATCTGAAATCTTCTGAAAGCTTTGTCTCAATCAAAGCAGTTAAACTGGAGCAGACCAACAAATCTCCAATAATTCATTGTCGTTTCATACAAAAAGCACATTTGAAAACACAGGTTATTTTTTTAGTACAGGGACATGAAAGAGGACTGTGGCAGATTCCAGCGTTGGTAAAACAAATTGGTTTCGATCAACCAAAAAAAGAAATACTGTATGGAACATATAACATCATGTTGGTAATCCTGAATGATAAATCTCACACTAGCATTCATACTGTGATTTTCTGATCAAATAAAAAAAACTGCTTTTAATTAAAAAACTCCATCAACAGAAACTTTTTTTATAATAACTTACAGTCTGAAAAAAAAAAATCACCAAAACAGACATTCCCTCATTTACAGTTTCGTTTTAGAAACAGGTTTCATCAAAAGAATTTCTTGGCTGCAGCTTCCTGTTGACTTCTGCAAGAGAGGGTAGGAAATATTTTAGACACATTTCATCTACATGTATTTTTACAAAAACAAACCTGATGAACAAAATACGTAATGTCTTACTTGTACATGATGTAGCAGAAGAACAGCACCGATTGGATGACAATAAAGATTATAAAGTGGACAGTTGATAAGCAGGGAGGCAGTGGGGGAAACTCAGGGCACTTCACGGCCTTCTCAGCAGGATTCTGCAGGAAAACCAACAAATGACAAAAGAGTTAACACCGGCCAAATGGGTTCATGTTAGACCTATTCCTTCGTTAGGCTGACACATACTTAGTCTGCTGGGAAAACTCCCGTTAGCACCAGATCCACACCTGCTGTTAACAATGCCCACATCATCTTTGCGTACTAAATGTATCCTCACCTGAACATTGGTCTGCACCAGGTTCTGCACATCCCTCTTCACTGTGTGCAGATGTTCCTTGATGTCGTTGAAGTGTTGAATGGTTTCATACGATCCCATACCTGCAGCATTTCCTTGGTGTTGGGCCGAGGTGATCTGTTTCAGTGACTCCAAAAATGTGTTTCTGCCAAAACAGACGGTAGTCGGGATAAATAAGAGTTGACAATTGGCTAAAGAAGTAATGTTATGGAAATTAAGTCAATCTTTTGTCCTGAAAATGTATTAAATTCTGGTACCTGTGTATGGTTTATTCCAATGACATAGTCGGGATAAATAAGAGTTGACAATTTATTTTTATAATTATTTTTATTAAATAATTTTGTTAACCGTTACTCCCTGTGTGTGACTACTGTTGACATCAATGTCTTTACTTTCAATTTCATTGGTGAAACATGTCTTAGCCTGAATCCAATTTCCCTCAAAGAATTGTTTTTCTTTAGTCTGATGATGTGCACAAAGGAAGCAATAATTTTTCTTCTATCATCTTATACACATCTAAGACGATTTAAAAAAGAAAAAAAGCCTCCAGACAAAATATGAATTCCCTCAATAGAAAGGCCTTAATGTCCCCTGAAGGAGGAATTGAAACATGGGATCGGAGGGAATTTGTGTTTTGAATGTGTGTGACAGACGTATTTAAAGATGACTAATCTGAAAAACATTGCACTAAGACGTGTCCTTCTCAGACTCAGCCACTTGGCTGCAGTATTAAAAACATAGCCAGAGATGACATATAAACAAATTTTAATTTGTTTTACGTTGATGTGGAGAAAAATCCCCCTTGGGGGAGTGAGTAAACATTTATTAATTCCTTTATTTAATCTTTACTTACAACAACTGACCTATTTGTGAGCAGAAAGCTCTCCTTAGAGACCAGCTCATCTATATGAACACAAGACCAGTGAGCAGCCAATGTGATTTATAGGTCAGTGATATAATAAAGGGAAATTGTGAATGTCCAGCAAAATAAAGAATATTTTCATTTAATTAAATAACAAAACTGATTTATATTAAATAAAAAATAAATATGGTTTTCTAACAATTCCTTTACCTGGTTATTCTTTATGCAGATGATGTGATTGTTTTTAGAAACAATCTTATGGACAAACCATTTTTTAATTAATGTAAATAACTTCTATAAAAGGTGTATGCTGCTGAATTATTAAAAATAAAATTGACAAAAATCTAAACTCACATAAAGGCTTAACTTTCTCCTCCATTATTATGTAAACCAATTTTAGGAGCATACATTTTGAAGAATAAATTGTGATCAATTGTGTGGATTAATTTATCCAAAGGTCACGTTTTAGAGTAGCACTCTTTAAAACCTCTCGCGTGCTCACAGTGACTAAGCCCACAAGCACTGAAGCTGAGCAGTACAAAAGAACAAGCCCGATGTTGACAAAGCTCCAAACATCTAAAATATTACATTCCATATACTTCATCAGGTTTACTGGGGATAAGTACCAAAATCAGTCATTTACGTCTCTGGTCTGGCAGGCAAACTATCATCTAATCTGTAATTCAGGCACTGGTGACTGATCTGGGGAAGATTTTCACTGTTTTGAGTCGAAGGAGATTAAAGTCAAGCATGAGGATAAATATCACACATATATTTAAGCAGCGATAGGATTATAACTCTTAGGAATTACAGATTGAAATTATGTTGTTTACACAGTTGTCTGAGTAGTGAAGTTTGTCAGAGATGTATCTAAAGTAGACAATAGTTACAGAGATGTCAACTAGCGGCCTGTATGTGATGTTGGCTGGTACTGGATCACCAGGCTGGTACCGTACCACCTCCTTTAACTACTACACCATTAAACTAGACAAGAAAAAAAAATCCATAACACATTGTTCTGACTTACCTTAACTCATTTAAGTTTGTGAGAACTTCCTGTTGAGTTGTTAAAATAGAGCCCAACTGTGGACTGGCAGAATCCATCTAAAACAATAAGAAGAGAGAACACTATTGTTACTGCTGTCATTGGAGGATAGGCTAGGTCATCAGGTTGAGTCTGAACTTGTTATAACCATACATTTACTTTCTATAGGTGCACTACACTGGACATACAGACATCTAAAAAAATGTACATGCTCTGTGTGTTTGTGCTGCTGTGTGAAACCCATGGTCCTATCTTCAGCTCTAAGCGAATGCAAGATAAACCTACACAAACACATACACATGTAATGGCTCTAACCCATTAGTATTCAGTACCAGTAAGCAACAAACGTACAAAAACTATAACAAAATAAAAGGCACACAAAACATATCTGTGTTAATTAAGTTATGTGATAAACTTATAAAAACACACTAACTGAAGAGATTAAGAAATAACATCAATGACATGACACTACATAACTTTACAAAAAAAAAGAAATACTAGCAACTTCCACACAAATTAGGAAGCAACACTTTGGGCTAATGGACTGGATGGTATTTGAAGCCCACCCTGACCTTTGGGCCATATCTGGCCTAAACAGACAAGGAGCATCTCTAATATAAAGCATTACATGTTTCACAATAGTGCAGAATAATTCATAGTAAAATAAAGACCAGCTCACCTGTCCTGATTCAGCATTTGTTGCTTTTTTGGAAACCTCATCGGTGATAACAGAAACATATCTGCGCTGCTCGTCCAGGATCATGGCCAGCTGTCGGTGGAGCTGTTTGATCTCCAGGTGAATTCTGTTCTGGCCTTCGAACACCTGACGGATCTCTCTGTCACTCACGCTCTCGTACAGGTCCTCCACTACAGAGGGAGATCATTACAGAAGAACGTCGACTACATGCACATGTGGTGAATCAAACACGCCGTCTTCGCTTAAGTCTCTCAAAACGTATGTCTGTTGTTCACAGAAGACCACAGTATGAACTTAGTCTGGGTCAGATGAGGTCGACAAAAACAGGTTCATTTCTATGAGATGTAGAAAATGCTACTGCTACTCTTAATAGAACTTTTCTGTTTTGTCCACAAGGCTAACAGAAAGAGGTCTGGAAAATGTTCAAAATAAAAATGTCACTAATGCTGAAATGTTTTTGTATAAATGTGTGTATGTTTTTCTTCTTTTCTTTTTACAGTGTTTCTGTAAATGGTGTTTGATAACATGCCCTAAAAGTGGTTGAATAAACATTTACAAATAAACATTGTGGACATAATTAATGGGTGTATTTGGTGAACACTAACGTGGCTCTCCTTGGACATCTGGGTGATCCTTCTGAAACTCCTCTTTCTTTTTGTCCAGGTCTTGCTGGAAGTTCTGAAATTCCTCTTGGTACTTGTCCTGCTCCTCTTTAGGAATATCTGATTCAGGTGGGGGCTTCAGGGAAAAAGACAAAGAAAAACACCCACTCTTAGCTCAATGGGCTGCACTGTGCACGCATGTGTGCACGTGCACAGCGCAAACTAAGACACACAAATACAAGAAAAACCTGGAAAAAAAAACGTTTAGGAACGTGAAGTTTACCGGTTGCTGGCCGGGCTCCGTGAGACTGAACAACAAGAAGGACAAGACGTCATGGTCGTCTGATGGAGAAGAGAGAGAACACAGTTAGAGTGAAATCAAATAAAACAGAGGAGTGAAATAATTAAATTAGCATTATAATAAGTACAGCTATAGATTATTATTATTTTATATTATAGAGACAAATACACACGCTCTGCACCATATGAGTTAATAGGATATATTTATATCCTGTTAACTCAAAAGGTTTTAGAATGCACATACATTCACACAAGGAAAGAGGGGGAGGGAAGGAGGGAGAGGGAGAGAGAGAGAGAGAGAGAGAGAGAGAAGTACTGGTAAGTTGTAGTATTTTATTTTTTAGTTAGGGAGATAATGTAGTAACAGAATGAAAAAAATGGTTCAACCTAAAAATGTGAACAAACATTCACTTTCTGTTCACAAAATTATTTGATTTAATTTAAAACGTTTTGTGATTCTTTTTTACAAAGAATAAAATTGATTTTTTTATACAAAGTTTACTGATTAAAAGATGATAAGGTGTTTCTTGCAATCATGCTTTTGTTCCTGTATAAGTGAACAATCAAAAGTCAATATGTTTAGTAGTTGCCTAAAAAAAAAGCATAAAACTGACACATTTTTTCCTTGTCTAAGCATAAAACTGACACATTTTTTCCTTAAACGCAGAGAGGACAGATTACCTGCCAAACCACCAGTGGCTGCTGAGATGCCAAAGAAGCCTTCGGTGGGAATGACCATGTTGTCCACCTTCGTGCAGAACTCGTAGTCCTCTCTGTCTGGAGTGAAACCGTTGTTGATCATCACCTGATCCGTAGAGAGAACACAGGTCAACGAGGGGAACACTGACTGTGACATTGAGTGTTGTGAACACTCAACTTGACCATGAAATAAAAATAAAACACATCACAAAAACTTTGCCATAGCCTCAGTGTTTGTGACGTGTCTTACCGTCAGGGTTTTCTGGTAGTAGATTATTTTGGCTCTGACTGGATACGGTTTGTTGCGGAAGTCTCGTAGACATGTTCCAAGGGCCTGTGTGGTGCCGTCACTGTATTAACATGACAATGGGGGAAATTATACTACAGATTATTGGCTTTAAAATTTGTTACATTAGTGAATAAGATAAGTACACATGCATGTGAAGAGCAGAGATTAGAGGAAAGCAAGAGAAACAATAGGCAATGTGTGTTGACAAACTGAATGGAATAAAAAAAAAAGAGTTTTCACCGGACAACAACAGATTAGAAAAGATAAAGGATTACTTTTTAAGCAAATATGATCACATTGTCTAATCTTCTTTAAGTTGTTGAAATTGCACAAGAAATGTTTACTTACTTCTGATGATCGTAAACAAGTTTGCCGTTGTTTCCCACGACAATAATAGCTGGGTTGTTTTTCTGGGATTGAAAAGACAAACACAGACCCATTTATTTAATCAGGAAAAATCAGGCTCTAATGTTTCAGAGTTAAGAGGCGACAATTAGAGGATGGTAGGAAAGGTGGGTAGTGTTTTTTTTGTTTTTAAAGTTCATCTTAAACCTATAGTTACAGTTGAATCATTGATGAGGGAGAGACGACGGCACAAACCTTCCCATCATTGTCAAAGGAGTCAAAGAAAATCCCAATGCCATTCCATTGATCGCTGGCTCCGTACACAGGGCCTTCGAGGCCTTGTTCAGTCGTGAACCACACGGCCTGCAGAGCAGAGACAACAACAGAGGATTACTGCCATTTATTTGTATGTGTTTGTTTTTTTGTCGTCGTCATCATCATCATCATCATCATCACCACCGTCTATCAAAGTAACATAACAAAACAGTAACTGTAACAATACCGTTGTAACAGAAAGTGATAATAATAGAAATCGGTAAATTGATTTTAATCTTTTTTTAATAACACATATTTTTGGCAAACAGACAGACAGACAGATAGATAGATAGATTTTCATTGGCTGCATATTACAGAAGAAAGCTATGAAAATGTAGGTTAAAACCATAACTTCATTCCTAATTCACTCTACAGTACGTTGGCGTCACTGTTCCAAATCCTTACCAAACCGTCGGCTCCCATTCTGCCTCGTCCTGATACCCTGAAGGTCACCTCGGCTTCCCAGTGCTGGAAGATGACTTTGTTTTTCGTCCACACTGAGCCCCTCTGGCTCCTGAGAGATGGAGTAATTCGCACCTGGTCTGCACTTGGTATGGCATCTGAGAAAGAAGAAGGGACGCAAGATTTTAGATATAAGTTTAGTTGAAGACTCAATGCTCCTTGGTAAACATTTATAATGTTTGGTGCTGGACAACATTAACACAACAATAATCAAACGATGATAGAAATACAGCCGTTTCTTAATTCGAAAGTTACATATGAACACTGTTATTCCTGTTTTTCGCTTCTACTGTTTACTTAGTTAAACAGAAAACTGTATAATTTGACTCTGTGCGTAGGATGAAACGAAGCACACACCCCGTGGTAGCCTGAGGTTTTTAAACAACTTAGCTTATTGTCATGACAACCCCAGCTTGAAGCAAGCTGCTCTTTATTTACATTCTTATTTACTCCTCCTACACTCCAGGCCCCCATTTTTTTAGCAGGATCGAAACAGGAACTGCATGGAAATCGTCAGCTATTTCATCATATCCCAAGGTTTTCCAAAACCCATTATCTACTTAGACTGCTGGGGGAAATCAAAGTACCTTTCTGATTAATACGGACACACAGACACGCAAAAAAACATAAAACGAAACAGCACATCTGTGTTGGGCTGGGATTTCAACCAGCAGCTTGTTACAAAGACAAGCCAGAACCTTTCACCTCCAAACCACTAGCTGTCATAATACACAGTATACATAGATTTGTGGAATTGTGAAGAAAAACATTATATTCTGAAAGCTGGAAATAATAATGTCAACAAAGTCAACGTGTTCTACTGAGGCTAGAAACGACCCACAGTATTATTATAGCATGTGTCACAGCTTGTGGTTGTAATTCCAATTCAAATATTTGCGCAAATACTTTGATATGCCATTACTAATAAATCGGTTGACACAGATGTCATTATTTCATTATCTAATCCTGTCAGCAACTGGAAGACAGACAGTTATGCAAGACTGATTGAAAGAGGAAAGTTCAAAACTCCATCTGTACAGACTCCCGCTGTACTGACGACCGTTATATAACTATCTTTCAATGATTTAGGCCGAGCCTCGTTCATAATTCACCCTGCGTCGAAAGCTAGTTTGCTAATCTCTACTAATTTCCTGCCGCAGCTTTGAATGAAACAGTCTAGGTCTGCAGCGGAAACACACACACACACGCCGCAGACAAGACTGTCTCAGCTCACGTCACCATCAACTCGGCGTTTTATGCCATGTTATGTCGCAGTAGCAGCAGCAGCAGTTGTATGATGCTGACAGCTGGACTCAAACTTACTTCCAGTGTGGATCCAGAATGGGATCGAGCCGTCATTCTGAGACAGATGGGGTCCTTTGAAGCTGTACTTGTACTCGAAGCGGCGGTGAGGGGTCTCCTCTGTCGCCGAGGCACCTGCGTCAATTTCGGCAACACTTCGGTGAATAAATAACGTGGCGACAAAAGTTAATAACAACATTGAGGCAGCTGCAGCCGGTGATAGCGCCACGGACACCGCCATGTTTGGTATCACTGCTGACGTAGCGCTCAGCCCCTGAGCATGATGGGAAGCCTGTAGACCAACAGGGCGTTTTCTCATTGGACGACTTTTCTTTTCTTTCTTTTTTTTCTTTTTTTTTTGCCACACTTTCGTGTTTCTCTGGGGCTGTTTAACCTGTCAACTGAACCGTATATGAACAGACGTGTCATTTAAATGGCAGTTAAAGTTGGGTCAATAAAACTGTGACATTAGCTCGTTCTGTTTCTGTTGTGTTTGGACAACATTTCATTGCTTCATGTCCATTTTTTAAAACAAAACTGACGTTAAAAGTTTCCTGCAATGTCTTAAAATCCGTTTTTTTCTTTTAATTTTCTTCCCACCCCCAATTGTCATACAATTCTCAACATTACAAAAAAATTACTAAAAGAAAAGATTGGTGAGTCATAGTTAAACATATAGCAAACAAACCAGCACTGTTTGAATATAGATTTCCCAAATAAATGTCACGTTTATATGTTTATAGAAACACATTTTTTATCTAATAATTGTAGTGAAGTTTTTTTTTATTCTGATACTTTTAATATTTTCTCACAGACACATCATGACACTGACCTTAAGTCCAGTCATTGCAAAACGAAATTAAATTATAAATGACTTGGCAGCACTCTTTAGAAAGCTTGACTAAAAGAAGTTAAGGCTCCTTTAGTGAAACAAAGGACATTTTAAAATAATATTCTTGGGGATGCAGACAAATTGAAAGTTGAAACAATTACAGAGCAGGGTAGTTGGGGAAAAGAAATACTTTCCCATATAATTCCATTAGTATTTAGCTCCTACCAATTAATCAATGGGGCTGTAAACATACAAAATGTTAAGAATGTTTTTATCAAATGTACAATCCATTAGTTATTCTTGGTTTTGAGTATATTGCTCATATATTTGGGTAAAGTTTAAACTTAAGCTTAAAAAATACAATGTAAATACAAAAAGAAATTACAGTTACACTAGGTCTTCCAATGGAAGAGTTTTATTCCACAGATGCTGCAATACATCGGATCAACTTTCTCTTATTTAAAAATGTTTTTCTACTACATTATCATTTTTAAAAACATATCAATTTCAGTGGGAACGATCTAGTAAGTTAATAGTATGCATTTTTCTAACTATCTATCTGTACAGTGAAACTATTATCAAGTAATTACATTATCTGGTCTGGAAATGAATTGCACTAACAAAAAGCACCTTAATGAAGGAAGTCAATCAGACAAAATCCATGTTGTGACCAGTTCTTTCACTTGTTCTAAACCCATTTGTGAGCCTGCATTGGGTCAGTGAAAGGTTAAATGATGAGGACTTGGGCTTTTACTTTGACTGAAAGCCTCAGTGGGAGAGGGGAAATTAGTCAAGTCTTGTTCCACTCACTTTCCTTTTACCTCCCTCTTCCTTGTCCTATTGGTTTTGGAGATGCGGCCTCACTTTCTGTGAGCTCCTGTGTTTACAAACACACCCCAGGATAAAACAAGCTTTTGTGGTGACACTAATCTGGGCTTTGGCTTTTAGTGACAAGGACTGATTGTCACTGGTTTACTGTGAGATGCTTTAAATGATGCTTCAAAGTTTACAACTCAGGAAGTACATTTTATATTTACCCCTCACCCCCAAAAACAATATTGTTTATTGGGCTTTTTAGAGATATAAAATTGTTTTTTTTCTGGAAATTGCACAAATATACTTTTTGTGCTTAATGTCTGGAATTTTAACCTTTTTTTTAATTTTGACAATAACAGAGCACTGGGATTCCAGCATTTGTCTACATCTCACCCTATCGTCTTCCTCTTCTGATTTAACACCAACAATTTCCATGTCTTTTTTCACAACGTTCATACATCTTCACTGGGGTTTTCCTCTTCTCTCCTCTCGCCAGGCAACTCCATCTCCCATGACTTGGAAAATCATAGCACAAATAAATAAAATAGTTTATAAGCTGAGTATTTCTTATTTCAAAATTCAATTCCAACTGTTTGTTTTGTGTTGAAGTGTAACAGGTTTCCAGTGGCTTTAGGGAGCAGGGAAATTAGAGGCCTGGGTGCTTTGTCTGAGGAAGTCCCCATTAGAAAGTTAAACCACAGTCTTTGTTACCAAACAGGGGATTTGAATGACAATGATGATGTTAATGAATCCATTTATAGGTGGACAATTGGATCCTGCAGGATGTTAATGGGTCACTGAGACTGTGAATAGTTAATCACAAGCCAGCACAAATATTTGGTCAGTGAATTACACGATGGTGTAGGAGGTGATGACAAGGACTAAATGTTTCACTGCTGGTTCTACCTGGGCCTAAAACTTTACTGAAGCCATTTTATTAAAAAAAACTTTGATTTGTGAAAGATCTCATTCTGGAGAAGTTTTTACACTGACTTAATAAAAGCACTAGGACTGTATGCATGCGCCTCTCAAAGCGGTTTGTATTACCCACGTCTGTCTCTGGGAGAAAGGAGAGTGGCCTGTCACCACCTGGTGTGATAGCACAGCTTAGTTAAATGAAGCCTGTTGCCTCATGTTGTTTGGCAACACAAAGGAAATCATTGTCTGTCAATAACAATAACACGCTAAAAAAATATCCTGTGGCCAAACCTGTGGTGCTCCTGAGTCTTCACCGTGCTGCACATTATCTGAATCGGAATCAGCATTATTTATGAGAGCACATGGAATATATATATTTAATATATGTATATGCATGCATATATGGTCCATATTGATTTCTATTAATTTGATATTTTTATGGGAGTTTGTTCGTGTGGCTGATTTGATATTTTTATGGGAGTTTGTTCGTATGGCTGTATTTAAAAAAACGTGGATTCTAAATATTCCTATGGCCTCAAACTGCACAGTTTCCCCTAGAACAGATGTATTAAACCGTTATTTCAGTCTGCTTTAACACAGTCCAGTGTGGTCCGGGGCAAAGGGGGCACTTTATTGTCCACTAAGGACCATGCCACATTCATCTGAAGAGGAGCCTTTCCTCATTATCAACAGACACACTAAACTCTGGGCCCTGGACAATACAGAACAGATCTCTTTATTTTGCACAAGTGCTCAATGTTTCGGCTGCTACTGTGTGTCCTTAACCACTCCCTTCTCTTTTCAGATACCTGCACACATGTGAAAGATGGTGAGGACACAAAAGATATCCCCAACTTTCCTTTACCCCCCATTCTGTGAAACGGGCCCATACTATATCTTTTATTTGTGCAAAGCCTCTCATTAACTCCACTCATTCCGCCTCCCTCGGCTTGTTGTTGCTTAAGTGCTCCGTGTTGTAAAAAAGCTACCAATTAGTCCCTCATCAGCTCCAATTAGAGGAGACAAAGCCTGTGTAAAGATAACTCGATGAGATGGGGAGGTGGAGGGGTGAGCACCGGCTACGTGTGTGTGTGTGTGTCCCCTCACATGGATGTGTGAGAGGTTGCCTGTGCTTGTGTTTGTGTACATGTATGGACCCCAGGCTGCTACAACATAGTTTATAAGCATTGAAGGACTTGTGGCCATTCAATTTGACCCTGTGCAGCACAGGTCCATTCACCGGCTGGTCTCCTCAGCAAAGCCTTTTCTCAGGGCCAAGTGTTGTTGTGCTGGGAAGACAGGCCCCCCAGGAGTCCCAGAAAGAGAGCCATTCAATCCTCTTTACCTGTTTGCAGCATATGAAGCACTCAGAGCCAGGCCAATCTCTCCGTATTGTCTCCCTCACTCTCAGCACTTCCTTAAACTTAAGAGCAAGGCCTTTTTAAGAGAAAAATAGGGGATGCATGTTAAGGGTGTGCCTTTCACCTCATTAGAATTGAATGTGCACTGTCTTGTAATTATGTTGGAGGGCAACAATGTATTTTGCCTGGTAATCTTCACTGAAAGGGGGATTTTTTGGGGCAGTTAATTTGCCGTCCACAGTAACATATTAATTAATGAGGAACACTGATTATCTATGCTGCCCCTCTGTGGTTGATTCCGTCTGTTTCCAACAGCTCCAACAAGGCACTGATAATAAAATTACCTCATTAAGGCTTTCATCAAAGCACAGTAACTCAGTAACACAGTAACTCCGTCATTAATTTGCTACGGAACATTTTCTTTGGCCTGTGACAGTTCCCATTCAATGGTGCATCTTTTTGTAGTGAGTTCTAAATAATGAAGGGGGCTAACAAGGAGATATAATTAGGATCAATGGGTACTTCAACAAAAATTTAGATTATTTTAACTCTGCCTATGCTTTAATGGGGATTAATCACTTCCAGACAGGATTTTGGGAGATATGGAATGACATTTTTAACCAGCCTGTCAGGATGGAATAAGTTAAACTTGACTTTTTGCAATTTAAAGGTACCACAATAAACATATACAAACCTCCGTCTGGAGAATTTGAATAATTGAGACACATTTACAATAAAAATGTAATTAATCAGAGTGACATTTGACTATTCTAAAGCCATGTATTTTAAACCTCTAAATCAGGGGTCAACATTTTTCAGGCCAATGACCCCCGGACAACAGAGAGATGAAGAAACACCCCCACCATACACACAAACTGTATATATATAAAAAGAGTTTACCTTAGTATTTAGCTGGGATTTGTGCCACATATAAACCTTCTTCTTTTGTTAATTAAATGCTAAGTTGCTAAAATATGTCTTGAATATTCACGGTTTCTTTCTTTCTTTCTTTCTTTTTAAAGCTAAATATATAACTTATCTGATCAACCAAACTTTCACAACCCCTGTGTGGACCTCAGAGGGGTCACGAACCCACCGTTAAAGACCTCTGTTCTACATAAAAATGGCTCAGACTAAAAAGAATCGCACAATACAAACACACCTTTTAAATAGCGCTACAGTTCCCAAAAATAAAAAAACCTCAGATATAAAACAAGGTCAACTTATTAGTTCGTTGTCAGTTACAGAAACATTAAATATTGCTGCCTCCTTAAGAGAGACGTCATGCGAGAAACATCCAGGAAGGTTCTAGAACGTGCGGGTTGGTTATAAAAGACACATTCAGCCTTAGATAAATCAAAGGGCAGCGATAAGAATAATCTCCCAACGTGTCTGTCACCATTTTGTCACCAAGTGTTGTGAAAGGGTTCAGGGCGTCGTGAGAAAACATTTGCCCTAATAATAATCATGTCTATATCATTATACTTACCGAGTATTTACCTACTTTATTTACTTATTCATTACAATGTTTTCTTATCACCGCAACCGTGTACGCCTCTGTGAACAGGTTCAGAGTACATTAGACACAATTTGCTGATCAGTATATGGATGCTGGGTGACTGCCCTCTAGTGGACACAAATATATATGTTTATTAAATCGACAGTGGTTGTGTTGCCATAGCAACGTTCGGTCGTTTTTAAACGCAAGGCATAAAGCAACCTCAAATGAAGATGGCGTGGCTAAGCTTGTTCTGCCTCATCCCTGTGATATAATACATACATTTTAAAATAAATCGATCCTGGAAAACTCTAGACGCACTAGAGGCTAAAAAGCATGTGTAGGCTAAAAGCATGCCTACACGTATAAAATCAATGGATATCAACGAATATAAAATAGTGTGTCTTTTGATATCAAAAACATATTAAAGATTTTAAATGTATATTGTGTGCACCGCCAAAGGAAAAGTGGTCATTGATTGAGGGCTATAGCTGTGACAGGGCTGCCCTCTGGTGGAAAACTCAGGAAGTGATGAAGAATAGAGTTTTGTTCAACGTGGAAAATGCACATAGTGCTTTAGCACATTGTAAAACTCCCCATCCAGCTTTCTCTTGAGATATATATTACTGTGACAGTGCCAAAGAATCCTTCTGTACAGTATTAGGCTTGATAGTACTTTGGTAAAGTACACTTTCATACATCCTAAAGGAATTACGTGCGGTGTTGATATGAGCATTCCAAAGAATTTTGTTTTAAAGAAAAATATCCATTATAAGAGTTTGTAGACTAAGCACACTTGATAGATACTTTTTTCTACTATTTGAGTGGTGCTGTATTTAATCCATATTTTTTTCCCATTTATTTTACAAACCCCATGTTCTATTTGTTCCTTTTAATGTGGCGTTGGAATTTTCTTCACAGTGAATATTAACATGTTGGAAAGCAACGATAATTCCACTTTCCTTGTTCTTACCTTTGTATTTACAGTATCAAGACTGCTTTGAACTCCTGTGATTGTAGCACCTGGATCCTAATAAAACACATATCAGTCGGTTCATTTGGTTAAAAACATGTTTTGTTGAAGTTCTTTACAAAAATAAACATCTATAATCCCAAGTACATTTAAATAAAAAAAAATTAAAAAAAAAACAACCATTGTATTTACATCTCTGTACAGTCTTGAAGCTCACTCTAATTCACATCATAGTTTGCTCTTTCTCGCTGTGGTTTCTTCTTCTTGGACCTCTTGGAGGCTCCACCTCTTTTTGGTGGCGTCTCCTTATCGCCATCACCTGACCCTGTTTCCACACTCTCCCGGCTGTCTCTCCAGCTGTCTGGAACTTCAGCAAAATCATCCCCCGGTGAGGGTAAGGGTTGACCATACACTTTGCTCTGCAGGTCAGCAATGTCATTACGGATGTCCGCCATCAGCAGAAGCAGGAAGTCGAAGGAGCCTGGAGGGCCCTGACAGGGAAGTGATACATGTATGGTGAGGGGTTTAGGATTAGAAGATGAAAAATAATTACTCTGTCAAGATATTAATATACAGTCAAACATTTAAAGTAACTTCATGTTGTCTACAGAAATATAAAAACAAGAATATTAATCCTAAAGGAGAAATATTTATCTGGACATGGTGTTTATTTTACCTTTGGAGAGGACAGTCAGCATCAGTATCAGCCCTGCTATTATTTTTCAAATATGCGATATTGTGTTTTCACTAACTGTATATTTGTTCTGTTATGATGTGAGAAATTTAATAGAACACCTGCGGTCTGATCTGGTTCTGAAAAAGTCATATTATTACAGTTATTTGATTAAAAAGCACAGAAAACTGCCATCCAATTCAAGTGAAACTTTGTTTATTGTAAAGCAGGAGACAATGTTTTCAATTGAAATGCGGTACCAATGTTAAAGCTCCGCTCACTTTCTGTTCAGATGTCTGTGTTAAATATGAATATCTTTAAATAATATATATATAGGTATATATATTTCTACAGTAAAGTGTTACACAGAAATATTTTGACACCTTTATGCTGGGAAGTATGAATAAGTAACAATGGTGTGTCATCAGTAAATGTGGCTTAGTCTTACTGGTGGTCCGGCAGGTCCAGGAGTTCCTCTTTCTCCCTTGGGATAACAAAACAACAGAGTTATAGTAGTGGAAAAAATGAAAAAGGAATCAATGACCTATCTGTTAAAGAGACAGAAGAAAATTAAGCTGCAGTCACGATGACCAAAAACACAAATATGACACCAACATACTTTTGGAATTATGTAATGCTGGTCTGAAGTCATGACTCCCTGTTGATCTACGGTAGCGAGTACACACTCTGACCTAACTACTCAGAGTTTTCACTTGGCTCAGGGTCACACAGGGCCATGAGTGTTTTGGCAGATGGTTTGGATTTGTAACTTAGACTTATTCACACAAATAAGCCAGCAGTGTTGCCAGAACGTTCAGAAAATGTTGATGTCGACTGAGGCTGATGCACCTAAACCAAACATCCATAATCTGTGGTTAAGCTCGATCTAAGTTCAGCAGACAGGAACTCTATAAGCCACAGTATCTCTCGTTTAATTTAGTGGGGGGAAAAAAAAAATCGGTAAATATTTTCAAGACACACACACACACGTCACAAATTCAAACAGCACACAGTTATCTATTCACTAACAGACACAGTTGAAGCAAATTTGGTTTTATCATTAAATCTTTACCAGAAATGTCTTTAGTAATAACAATAATAATATGTATGTTTTCACACAATAAAACAACTTATCTAGTTAAGTTGTGAGAGGCAAGAAATGCTAATTAAGTTATACAGATGTTTAGCCAGTGCAACACTGTCTGGAGTCTTCCATTATAGTGTTTACACACAAAAAACACTCCAAACTTCACCTGATTTGTAACTCTACATAACTAAAAAGACAATTCTTGTGATTTGCAGGGGTTACGTTCTCCAAACATCTGTCTGACAATAGTTATGAATATTTTTCTTCTTGACATTATTGAGCGTCAACTCTGTTTCTCCTCCTTGTCTAACCTGATTATGATGCACTGCAGGACAACACAGCTACAAATCCATATAATCCTCACAGACTGTTGTGTTGTGGCCAAACTCTATCACCATGGGGAGTGTATATCTACCCCAACCACAGACCGTAGACAGTTTGTCTGTGGGCTGTGGATAAAATCAATGGCTGGGAAAACAAACTCATTTTTTAGCAACCGTGTTGCTGCATGAAGCCTGATATTTTTCTCAAAAGACTAACTTCTTGATTTTAGAAAAATACAAGTTAAAACAGTCTATGAGCACAGCGTTCAAACAGTAGTTCATAAACAGTATTATATGAAGACAAATTAGACAGGAAAGTCATGATGTAAAAAATAAAAACACTTAGATTGGAGTTTGAATGGTGTTTGTTTTCTCATAACAGAATAATCAAACATCTGCTGGAGCCTACAGAATGTTATGACACTTTTTATTGGCCTCCCAGGAGAGAAAAACATTAGTGTAAGACTGGTAGCCAGTGAATTCTACTTCCTGTAAACACATAATCCAAAGAGGTTGATACTGTATATTTGTAATCTCGGCCCGTGCAGCAACATTCAAGTGAACATATTTGTTCAACTGTGAATTTGATGGTATAAAGAAACACATTAGAAAATATCAAGTATTTTTACTACCAAAATATATTAAAATTTAATTTTCTTCACCTTTAAGCCGTTCTGTCCTGGTGCTCCGGGTGGACCCTGTTTGATAAAAACATAAATAAAACACTTAGTGCATCAAAGATGGAAAGGAAAAAATATTATGGTAAATAATAAAATAATTTTCAATATATATAAATATATATATATACACAATCATATATAGCCCTGCTCTCTCTCTATATAAATGGCCTAAATAATTTACTTATGAATGCAATCAGATGAAAAATTGTATACATTTGAACTAATTTGCACATACTGCAAGTAGGAGTTTTCACTTCACCAAAACACCTCCAGCTTAAAATACCATCTCTGTGCCCAAGCATGGGTTTGTTAAGGTTATGTTAGTTCCAAGCCCCAGTTTCACTGATATCTTCAGGTGAATCTCTGAGAGTCAAACACACATCTACCAAAGTGAACGACTCAAACGTGACCAGCCTGTGTATTTTAACAGTGTTTAAACTGTACATGAATTAAAACTTCAAAATGTCACTGGTAGAGAACAGTATAGACCTTCGTGCTGTGAAAACCCCACTCTTGTCTGAATCCATGCTGTTTGTAAAACGATTGCTGGCAGGTGTTAACAGCCTTATTTATCAATAATGAGATCACATAAATACAAAGGGTGTAAAAAATGTGTGTGTCTGGCAGCCTGCTGCACAGATTTGACGTGGATCCCACATTTCAGTGTTCACACTAGCATGCAAGACTGAGTGCTGCATGAAGCTGCAGGGAGCCAAAGAAAACAACTAGGGCTGTAAATGGTGAGACCTTTGTTTTTTTTGCCATCAACACTTATCATCCTTTTTTTTTTAACCTTAAAGAAGAGAAGAAGACCATGGAGAGAGGGTGTGAATGTGTCAAATCAAACATAGTTTTGGGTATTTGCTTATTTTCTTCAGATGAATTAATCACAGCTCCCTCGTGGGCCCGTTTCACACTGCAGGATTACTAAATTACCCAAATCACTTTGTTGAGTAAAACCGAAACTTTGGTTTCTGCAGTCGAATGATCTTTTCCAGGTTTGATTGCGACCTGGATTAGATTAAATCCTGGAATTATTCCATGATACTCATTTGCAATACAAAGCAGAAACACAGAAATATGTCGTCAACAACAACAACAAAAAAAAACTACCTAAAATGACTCACAGGTCAGTCAGGCACAGGCAAATCCAGATAAAAGTTGTTGTTATTGAGATTAAGTATGAAAATTGGAACCATTTAAAAAGAAAAAGTAGAGTACAGCGCCCCCTTTCATCATAACAAATACTAAGAAATGTCAAATAAATATCTACTAACCACAGGTCCTCGAGGACCACGTTTGATGTGGTTAAGGTCAGGGGTTGGTCCAAGGGGCCCCATGAAGCCTCTGGGACCAGGAGGGCCAGGTTGCCCCGAGGGACCTCCAGGTCCTGGAGGGCCCTCTGGTCCTGGATTCCCTGAAATAATCCAAGCAGTTTATTGATGAATAATGCAGACAGCAGTGTCTTGTTGGTCTGATATATTATTATTATTATTGTTAATAATAATAATAATAATAATAATAATAATAATAATGTGACAATGTTTTAGGAGAAGCTAACGTGGCTACTAGCAAAGCCAAACGCAGATATATGAATTTTAGCTGCCTTTGTCTTACCTTGAGGGCCAGGGACCCCTGGAGGTCCTGGTAAAAACATGGGGTTCCTTCGAATTTTCTCACTGGTCATTTGCTCAGGAACATCTGCCCTGTTCGACAGCAAAGCCATCTTTAAAAAAAGAAAAAAAGGTGTCAGAACAAGGGAAACAGATCAGTTATAAAGCCATTGGCAGCAACATTACATACACTGTATCAAAGGTGGACAATCCTTTTCCCTAAATCTAAGATTTCAGTGCAGCGCGGTGTCTGCATGTGGTCGCCATTCTTGAAATGGTTGTCAAATAGGACAGGAAAATTACACAAACCTCAGGTAGGATTAGGTTAGAAATATGTACCATGGCCAAGATGAAAGCTGATCTTCCTCCTCAAACAGATGGAGGGCCAAGTAACCCTTTACATTATTCAGCATGACCAGGAGAACTGCTGCTCTGTATGCTAAGTGGGAACCTTGAGAAAAGTTATCTTTGATCTCTGTAGAACATCACAGGGATTTGGCAGCTCCAGAGGAAAACAGGTGCGCATGCAGGATTCCCTTAGAGCATAAATCACTGAAGGGCCACATGGAGGTGGTTGATACACTTGCCTTACAGCAAAAGATCACTGATTTTTCTATAACATGGGTGTCAAACTCAGGCCCAGAGGCCAAATCTGGCCCATGGTGTAATTATATTTGGCCCACAGGATCATATCAAATGTGTATTAGGCCCGTCAGTATATAGTCGCTATTTGTAGCATTAGCAGTGTATACCCTATATCATATCACATACATTATTGGTTGGTTATTTTGGGGTTAGCCTGAAAAAAGATTTACATTAAAAAGGAACTTGAAAGGCTAGAGATAGACAAAGACATAATAAGAAACAAAGTCTACTGATGTGTTTTACTGTATTTCACATTTATTTCTCACGTGTTTATAATATTAAGGTTTGGTTGTTCCAAATTCAATGTTTATGCAAAACTAAAGTTTGTTTCCATATAAAATAAATTCTACATTACATATCTGGAGAGAAGGGAATACATGCACAATTGCAGTCAATTTTTCAATAAATATAAAGTTTGGCCCACGACTTGTGTAGTCAGTGTTGGGCTAATGGTTCACTCTGATGTGACCACAGGTGTGAGTGTGCTTGTAAATGTTTTTTTTCTATATGTGCCCCCTTGATGGACTGGTACACTGACCAGGGTGTACCAGGAAAGAATAGCAATGTTGATAAAAAAAAAAATACTATTATAATTGAAAGCGGTTGATGATGGATGAATGGATATTATAATTGAACAAAACTCAACCCCCCCCTTAAAATGTCAGTTAACCAATAATTAAAAAGAATATTTTCATCACGGCCCTTGTGAAATGTACAAAACGTTTCTGCAGTTTCTGTTTCAGATTTGACAGTAAGAAGAAAAAAAAGTTTAAGGAGAAAAAGCAAATATTTTGGTGTTTGTTTTACCTTCTGTGTCAGCTGCCAGACAGCCGCCTTAATCTGGTGGAAATCATCACAGGTGGCTGAGCAAGATCCCGCATTCATCACGTTGTCAGATTTCTCAAAGAGATGAGCTGCTGGGAACTGAAAACCTAAACGGTTGAATACACACACAAAGAAGGATTTCCTGTTTTGGTGACTGGAAAATTCAGCCGTGTTTTATTTATTTGGGTGATTTTTCCTTTTCCTTTGTGACTGAGTCTGTTTATTCCACACATATTCAGGTGAGAACATTATACAACACATGCAAATACAGAAAAAAAAATCACCAGCATATTGCCAGTCTGCGGCCCTTAAATGGACCCTCTGTGGAGCACGCATATATTAAATGGATGAGTGGAAGTGTCTGGACGTTATTTTCAGTACTGAGGTACAAAGCAGTACCTGAGGCAGGGGCATGACCACATGAACATCATTTCTTATTCTCCTGAAATGTTGTAGCAGGTAATGGAGGATAAACCCTAGGGAGGAAGTAGCAAATCCAAAACCTCTGACTGCTTCATTGCCAACGATATACGGGGCAAAATAAAGAGTTCGACTCTTGCTCTGCACCATTTGTGATGTTTTCCTCAAATGAATCCCGTAAATCTGATGAGAGCTGGAGTCAGAGGGGCAGCAGTGTGCTGGGCAGACAGAACTGTTCTGACATGCAGGAAGTGTAATGACTACCATGTGTTTGCAGAACCCCCTACTCTCTCCGACCACATTCAAACTCGGGCGCAGGCACATGCACATGCAGAGTGAAACAAGGATTGGTCCGCTGCACATCTTCACACTCACCACAGATGTGCTGTTGCATAGAGAGATAATGTCTTCTCACCTCGTTCTCCCTTGGTGCATGTTTTCCCATCTTCTTCCAGGAAAAAGCCTCTCTCACACTCACACCTGTAGCTCCCCACAGAGTTGATGCACATGTGAGAACACACTGTCACGTTTGTGTCCGCACACTCGTCAATGTCTACCAGCAGCGTTGACAGGCCGAGTTGTGTGGGGTAAGCAGCATACGGATCACCAGAGGAGAAAATGTCAATAATTATTGAAATGTGAACAGTGGATTCCAATCTATGGTTGCAATCAAAGCAGATTCTGTATAAATCATAAATCAATGTGGGAATATAAGTGTCTTTGTGTGTTACTGTTTTGTAAAAATAATATATATCAATAAGGTGTTAGTTGAAAAGATTCTACCAGGATAGGAAGCCTGGTAGAGATATATATATATATATATATATATATATATATATATATATATATATATATATAT